TCAAACATAAGTGTCAGCAGAGAAATGTTTGCTTGCACATGTATGTGTACTGGGAAAGGCAACCACTGAAAAACGACAATTATGAGAGGGTGTAGGGATTGAAAGAAAGAGCCAAGAAAAGACAAAAGATAGTCCTCAAATTCTTCATTTATTCTGTATTACATCAATTGGCTTCTTGATATAACACAGAAACTTTAAAATTTAGTTAAATAACATGCTTGGATTTTAGGGGAGGAAAGCCAAATCTAACTCTAAATCCATCATTGATTTAATTGAATAGGGACTAGGAAATGAAGAGAAATAGAGCTATTTGAGAGACAGCTATAAAGTTTACCGTATGACACATTCCTTTTGTTTGATAGTTATAGCTACCTTCTTTCCTCTAAGTATCTACCCATGCAGTGTCCTTTGACTTCTGGAGGTGGGTTTTCCTGTGAAGATAAAAACGAAGTACTTCCCATTCCTTTGGGAGGCTTTCATTTGGTTTATGAGATATACCTCAGTAAATACCTGTCAAGTCGTCCTTGTCGAGAGGGTTGTCATTTTCAACTCAAATCTTGATCAATTTTGATGGTATCCAAAGATTTTCTTCTCCTGTGGAAACCAATGCAAAACCCCTACCCCAACGTAACACATGTCCTGGCTCCATACCGAGGTTAGTACATCTTTGAAGTATACTGGTTGATTCAGTTCAGCAGTTTTTCCCGTAGCCCAGTGTCTTTCTGCAGCTGTTTGTCCTTTTTCATTGGCATTAAGAAAGTTTAGTGTCAATAAAGCATTATGCAACCTATATTTGGGGGTTTTTGTCCCCCCAGTCTGTTGATGGAGCATCTCCTTTAGTGTTCTATTAGATTTCTCAACCACTGCCTGTCCTATAGGATTGTGTGGTATACTGGTCACATGCTTTATGTTACAATATTTGAAAAACTGCTCCAATTTGCTGGAGACATTTCCTGGAGCATTGTCGAGTTTTTATTTGTGCAGGTATACCCTTAATGGCCATTACCTCTCATATGTGTGATAACAGAATCGGCCTTTTTAGAGCCAATAGCAGTGGCTCATTGAAACTCTGAAAATGTGTCTATACCCTTGGGAATACTGCCTGCTGGTAATGGAACTTGATTATAGAATGAACAGGTAGGGTAGTTTTTTTACTATCTCCTTGACTTGTTGCCATGTGATAGAAAAATCCTTTTTTAAACCCTTGCTATTTACACAGTGTTTTTAATGAAATTCTGAGGCTTCTAGCATGCCGACTATAAATGGTTTCCTTGTATGTCTCTGGTGTATCTACATCCATTGGTCTAGTGTCTGCCCTTACCACACCTCCTACATAATCCCAAAGGCGGTGGCCTTTTGTATGAGGCATTGTTAGAATTCCCATGTCTACAATTTGTCTTAATATGTCCCATTCTGCCACAGCTGAAACATCTGGTTTCCTGACACTGTTGTGGTCTTCTGGGGGGGGTTCTTCCTACACCTCTGGGACTCTCCTGCTGCCCTTTGAAGCCTCTTGGGATGGCTTCTCCTGCCCAGACTCCAGCACCTTGCACATTATAGTCAATGTGGGCAGCATGCAGAACCCATTCTTCTAATGGAGCTGATGTGATCTTTAAAGGCAAAAGTATTCTTTTGCATATTGGATTTGCATTGCTATAAGCTAAGCTATACACAATTGGATGTCGTATCGCTGGATCTGCTACTTGTATGTCTACTGCTCTGGTCAACCGGCCTAAGAAGTCCGTAAATGGTTCTGTTTGTCCCTGTTCTATTTTCGTGTAAATTTCTAGTCGTTCTCCGGGCTCACGAACCTTATCCCATGCATTTAGTGCTGCTTTCCCGCACAGGGACAGCATATGATCGTCATATTCAGCCTGAACCTGTGGGTCAGCATAAATACCTTCTCCTAGGATCTTCTGAAGGGGTGCATCAACCCCGTCCCTAATGGCCTGCCGCTCTACGAGTTTTCCCTCTTCTCTAAGTAATGCTTTCCATTCAATTTGGCAAGACTTCTCAAGGACAGCTGACACCAGTCCTATCCAATCTGCGGGTGTCACCCTGTTAAAGGTTGCCCATGAGTGTAATAGCTGTTTTACGTATGGGCTATGGAGACCATATGAGACAACTGATTCTTTAATATGCTTAAGATCCTTCAGCTGTATAGGTTGCCGTACATAAGCCACCTGTCCCTGGGAGTGCTTTTTAGTTGGTGGCTTTTCTACCATTGTTGGTGGGTTGACCAATGGTGTACTCGTAATGACTTTAGAATGATCAAGATACCTGGGTGGAGTAGGTGCCTCCGATTGGAGTGATTCTGTCTCCAAATCCTCCCAATGATCCTTGAGTCTAGTAATGATATCCTCTCGAAAAGTTTCAATCTCCTTAATCATAAAAGATTTTAGGCATGACAGCAAATCCGTGAATTGCTGTGACTGCTCTTCCATACGGTTTTCTAGGTGTTTAAGTTTAGCCTTGAGGTCATGATTTGCCTCAGCAATCGACTTGACAGACCTTTCTAATTTGTCAGCCCTGTTCTGTAATTCATGGTGCAAGCTTTGAAACTTAGACTCAACTCTATCATCCACCCACTTGCATTTTTTAGCCATTGAATTAATGGCATTATCCAATTGTTTAAACCTATCCTGGGTATCTTGCATCTTAGTAACAAAGGAATAGGAGAGAGAGACTTTTTGAGTTTCTAGTTGGTTACACATGTTCTTTAATTCATCACAGTCCGCTGCCTGCTTAGCTCGTAACGTCCCTAAAATATCCTTTAGCTCATCACGGTCTTCCGCCTGCTTAACCTGTAAGGCCTCTAAAATATTTTTTAATTCATCACGGTCTCCCGCCTGCTTAACCTGTAAGGCCTCCTGCTTAACCTGTAAGGCCTCTAAAATATTTTTTAATTCATCACGGTCTCGCGCCTGCTTAACCTGTAAAGCCTCTAAAATATTTTTAAATTCATCACGGTCTCCCGCCTGCTTAACCTGTAAGGCCTCTAAAATATTTTTTAATTCATCACAGTCTTCTGCCTGCTTAACCTGTAAAGCCTCTAAAATGGAGCATCTCTCTGTGTTTATGTTATTATAAATGTGCTGCATTTCAGCTTGAGTAGTAGACAGATCTGCCTGTGTTGTATAAAACACAGAACGAAGCCTATCATCCAGTTTCTCTTCTACTATCTCCATAAGTGTATTATAAGCCGTTCTTGTTCCTTCTAAAACCTCGTTTCGCAAAGCTTGCATGTCCTGTAGGCGGGTGGGGAAATCAGCCTTCCCTTTGTTCCGGAGGAACATGTAAATTAATACATTCACAGCTAATAAGACATATAAGCCAATATTCAGCAAGTCAGCCTGTTTCTCCAGCACTGAATGCGCATAAGAATAGGCGAGATTATATAGTGGGAAGGGCGACAGAAATTCGGTTACATTTACTGGTAATGCCATCTCCAGGTGCAGTAACTATGTATGACCAGTAGGTGGCGCAGTCGCGTCTATTTTGAGTAGGATCCGAAACTTTTCAGAAAACTTCTAGGCACTAAGAAATTTTTAGAATGTACCTGGCGGGTATTTGCGTCAGGCAGGTGACCGTGCCCACAGCTAAATTTGAAAAGACTCACTCAGCAGCAGATGCCTCCAGAATCTGGGCCAGCGGACGGCGGGCGGAGCCCGGGAAACGAAGGCGGCAGCGAGAAGCCGAGGTTGGGACAGGCACAGCGGCTCACAGCAAAGCGGGAGCCGGGAAGCAGGAGCGGTGAGCGCCTTCTGTGGATGAAGGCTGCAAAGCGGCAGCCGCGCGGTTTTTCTGCCAGTCGCTACAGGCCACAGAAACAAGAGGGGCGCTCAAGCAGGCGCCTGCGGGCAGGCGCAGGGGAGGGGGAGGGAGAAGCAGAATGGGTAACTCACTGTGGAGATACCACGGCGGGGTGCTCCCTGCAGCTCCTAGGCCAGGCGGCCTTTCCTGGCTGAAGGCAGAGGCCCCAGCGGGCTCCTGGGTCGCAGGGGTTGGCGCCAACTGATGATTATTGGGCTCAACGTGGGCTCAAAGATGATCCGTAGTCCGTAAGGCTAAGATTTCTTTATTCAGATAAACACCAGCCAAGGGCAAGCCTGAGCGTGCCAGGGGCAGCAAGGCAGCCAGCCAGAGAGAGGGGCCAGAAAGAAGGGGCTATTCACATGTGCGCGGTCCCTTAAGAATCGTTCCCACGTCACCTTAGACCTCCCCTGACCACGCCCTCACGGGCGTGCCCCAGCACACCTGTGGGGGCTACTAGGAGGTGGGGCTACAGTGTCTGCCCACAGGGAAGTGTTGCAGTGATTTCCATTTGTGCATCTCAAGTTATGAAATATTACAAACAAATCCTGTATAACCCCTGTCCTGTCATTTGTCCATCTGCCCCTCTCTCCTTGTGGTTCTGCAACATATAGAAAGTGGCTGACTAAAGTGGCTCAAAATCTTGAGTCCTGGGTGTGGACCTGGCGCAGGTGTAGACCTAGCTAGCACAAGTATCTGAATAAAAGCATCTTCTCTGTTAAAATTTATTGATGGTCAGACTGGGGTATCTCCGAATGACCCCAGACCCAAAGCAGAATCACAAAGAAAGAAAAGAAAAAAAGAATGAAAATGTTCACTCAAATGTCCACTCTGGCTTGTATGTGGGGACTGTGTTTAAGGTAGCATAGGACAAGAGGACCCTTTGTCACTACTGTGGGTGAAAAGAACTTGAGTGAAGGCAGGGCACACGCTAGGTGGTCATGGGATCACAGGGCATGGAAAGGTTCCATCATTCGGGTCATGGCCTGGAGACTTGCTTGTCCCCAGTGGTAGGCAGTCCACAGTGGCAGTGAGTACTGGGATGGGACATTATTTTAAATGTGGGAGGCCAAGTTCACAGTGAGCGTACTTAAATGTTCAGTATGATGTACTGGATGAAATATCTTAGACATGGCGGCACATGTCTGTAATTCTAATGAGTAGGAAAGGCTGAGGTAAGACTGGGTGATACAGTAAGACCTGTATTAACCACCAAAAAAATACATTGGGTGGATAAATGAACCAAAGTCTAACAGGAAGGAGCCAACATTTTTACTACATTTGCAAAGGAAGTTTTGTGGGGCTTCTACAGTGTTTTTCTTTTTTGGAGGCTTAAGATACTGGGTGATTTTAGCACTTTAAAAGGTAAACTTAGGGCTGGAGAGATGGCTCAGAGGTTAAGAGCACTGACTGCTCTTCCAGAGCTCCTGAGTTCAATTCCCAGCAACCACATGGTGGCTCACAACCATCTGTAATGAGATCTGGTGCCCTCTTCTGGTGTGCAGATATACATGGAAGCAGAATACTGTATAAATAATAAATAAATAAAATCTAAAAAAAAAAAAAAGGTAAACTTAACTTTTAGGATGACCATAAATGTATAATGGCCAGTCTTTCAATAATAAAGAAGCATATAAAAGGTAAGTTAAATAGAGACATAAAGGTGTAGCAAATATGTCTAAATATTCATCCTCAGCCACTCACGGCCACCCCATACACATAAATGGACAGAAATTGATATTTTTATTTTTTGTTTATTCATTCCTTTTAAAAGAAAAAAATTAAGTGTAAGCTGTATATAGTAAGCTTATTGTCTTTGTTTTCGATAAAAATCACAGTTGCAATAATATCTCTTATTTGCTGAGGGGTCTATCCTGGGCATATCAAGACTTTTTGAGGCATTATGTCCTGAGAAATTATGGTGGTCTCTTTGTGTGGCCACAACACACAGCAAACACCTGTAACATGGATTGGGGTGCTCAACAAGCTGCTCACTGTCCCCCCATGATGTGACATTACTTTATTATTTTACTTTATTATTTATTCACTAACTTTTGTGTTCGTTGAGGTATAATTTACACATACAAAATTTAGGAATCTTAACTGTTCAGCTTAGTTTTGCAAGAGTGCACCCTATGAAGAGACAGGAAATTTCCAGTGCTTCAGAAGGCATCCAGGAAGTCAATACTATCAGTCAATAGGTAACCATTATGTAAATCTTTTTTTTTTTTGTAAATGTTTATGGTTCCAGAACTGAAGAAAATGTCTCTTTTCCAGTGACCTAAAATACTTACAGAGTTTTAGGGCAGGGTGACTCTCATTATTGCCCCCACCCCCAATTCTTTTTAGAGACAAGAGTCTCATCTATCCCAGGTTGGCTTCAAACTTGCTTTGTAGCCAAGGTTAGCCATGAACTTCTGATCCTTCTGCTGCTACCTCCCAATTTGCTAGGATTACAGGCATGAACCACATGCCCTTTTTATGGGGTGCTGGAGATCCAACTCCGTGCCTTGTGCATGCTAGGCAAGCATTCTATCAGCCGGGTAACATTTCAGCATTTGGAAAGTTTTGTGGAGTAAAAATAAATAACATAGGGGAGAAAAAGCATGAATTTTCTAAAAGTATTGTTTAATTAATTTTTATCAAATAGTTAATTACCTACTATAAGCCAGGTAGTAGGAATCACTAACTATTGTTACAAATATAAAGAAGACATGGGGGTGAAATAAACGTTAAGAAAAAGTTGGGGGGCAAATGCTGTCATAGGATGTGAAAAGAGCTATGTGGACACTGTGTGTGTGGAAGGGTTTGGGACTGGAAAGGTGAGAACTTGCTGGGTCAAGAGAAGATGAAGCAAGCACAGGAGCCAGTCAGTGGCAGAGAGCTGAGGAAGGAGAGGGAGGAGATGGGAAGGGAGGGGAAGGGACTGTGGCTGGAATAAGGGTAGAGCACAAAGTGAATGTTTGCTTAATTAAATTGTCTGGGAAGGAACTCAGCTGCCTTTGGCAAATAATCCCAGAGGTATCAAAGGAAGCTGAAGGCGACCTGTTAGTGATGGGGTGTACTTTGCAAATGGTCTGCTCTGTCTATTCTAGGAAGGCTTTGCTTAAAATGCTGGGAAGGAGTTCCGGGGAGAAATAGACAACAATGGAGCCCGACGCATACCAGCCTGTGTAGACCTATCTAATAAAGTCTCAAAATAATTCTCTTTTATAGAGGAGGAAAGTAATGACGGACAAGTGACTTCTGTAAGCCCCTCAAGACACACGAGTGGCCAGGTCCCTTCCCAGGACCTCTAACTGCCAGGTTCCACCCTCGGAATACTCTAACTGCCCTAATTGCTGGATCCTGTCCCCATCCTACAGAGTAAAAAAGTCCAATCTTGGAACATGAAATCCCACCAATTGCCACCCTGAAAAGTTCACCCCCCTTCCCAAGAAACTCTATATAAACCCTGTATCCTGTTCAGTTTGCTGCTGTTTCTCACCCTAGCAGAGGCAGACACCTTTCTTGTTTATTCCTCTCCCAATAAATTCCTCTCCTGTGTGAGGTCTGTTGTGTGGTGTGACTTTGTGGTACTCCTTGGCTCTCAGCTGCCAGGATACCTTTCCATCCAAGCTATAATGCTTACAAGTTCATTATGCCAGTATCTGGTTAGTGAAAGATTATGAATGAAGTCATTAAGAGTATGTTGTTCCAGTATGAAAAACTTGGGTTAGTGAGTGACTACGGACCTTCAACAAGTGCCCCCAAGCCCTTTTTTCTTTATCTGTGAAACAGAAAATTATTATCCATTTTGTAAATAGCCTCTAGAACAGGACTTATTGGGTTCAGCAGTCCTCTTTCCCTTTGGCCTTCTTCATAACACAGGTCACTGATAAGAAATCCAGAGGTTCAAGCAGAGCCTTAGAAGGTGCCAGGGCTGTGTGTGGTGTTCCCTGTTACTGGGGGTTTTGTTCTCAGATGTCTCCAAAGTTGACACTGTTAAAACTTGCATAGTGGAATGGCTAACAAAATACTATGGAAATTTATGAATAGTTCAGAATGAAAGTACAGCCAACATTAGATACATTTCCCACAACAGGCTCTCCTTTCTCAAACTCCAACCCCCCCCCCCCCCCCCCCCCAGGGTTTCTCTGTGTAGCCCTGATTGTCCTGGAACTTGCCCCAGGATCCTTCTGCCTCTGCCACCCAAGTGCTGGGATTAAAGGTGTACATCACTACTGCCCAGTGATCACTTTTATGTGTGTGTTTTGTCTGTCTGAACATATTTCTTGGTGCTCGAAGTCACAAGTGTGTGTGTCCTGATGTGAGCTACCATGAGAGTGCCTGGAACTGAAGCAAGTGCTGTCTCTCTCTTTCTCTCTCTCTCTCTCTCTCTCTCTCTCTCTCTCTCTCTCTCTTCTATATGTTGGAGGAACACAGCATATTCCCATCATATGCCACCTGTGACCTCTGTGAATCACAACTTTCTGTAAACTCATTCACTTTCTAAAATGAAATCATCAAAAAAGGGCTAGAGTTATTCTCTGAATTATGTTACATTTCACTTACTGAGGAAACACCTTCATTGGCTTTATCTTTTTTTAAAATTTATTTTGTGTAGCTCAGGCTAGTATTGAACTCCTGGCAATCTTCATACTCAGCCTTCTAAATGCTGGGGTTAGACTTGTGACCTCATGTCCTATGACTGGATTTGGTCATTCCCCAAGTGTATCACAGCGTCTTCCCCAGGACTAATTCCTGCATATGGCTAACATTAATTCACACAATTCACCAGCCTTCTGCCATTTCTAGACATTTCACCATGTGTACTATTGTTAATGACCTGTATTGTTTGCACATTCAGTCAGTGCCAGTTGAGGGGCTGGAGAGATGATGGCACAACAGCCTTTGAGAACACTGGCTAATCTTCCAGAAGACCTAGGTTCGATTCTTATCACCCACAATATGGCTATCAAATCCAGTTCCAGGAAATCTGAAGCCTGCCCGACACCGGCACCAGGCGCAGACAAAACACCCATACACACAAAATAGAAAGTAAACCCCAGAAGAAATGAGGAGGAGAAGGAATATTAGACGAGCTCTAAAAGGGTGGGCTTGAACGCTATTGTTTTCTTTATATGCATAGTGCTGTCACAGGATTACCAAGGAAAGGGCAAGCGTTTTGCTGGGTAGGGGGCCGGATGGGACACTAGGAAGGAAGAAACAGGATTTCCTGGAAGAATTTTAAAGGAAAGGTGCTGGGGTAGAGGTGGGGATAGGTGAGACTAGGAGATGATCATTCAAGTCTGCAGACAAAACTATTCTTTCGGTGCTGACGCTGGAATCTTGAGGAATGCAAAATGGACAAGGGTTGGATTCAGGTTAAGGAAGAAAATGGCAAGATACGCTGTTGTGACAAAGGCAAGATCAGAGTCTATGTTGGTACCTGAAAGTTGGTGGGCGCAAGTCTTGGGAGAGAGCATAGGAATGTGGAGTTTACGTTCAAGGGCTATAAGGTGCTTGCTGAGACAAACTAGTTACATGCCTGGTAAGCGTTGATACAGCAGTCTGAGATAGAGAAACGAGTCTGGACTAGCTGGAAGCTTGTAAACCTTCTAGAGCGAAGAGCTGGGATAGGATAGATCGGCTAAATTCGTGGATTTAGAAGTGGGAAGAGAACAGGAGCAGGGTAAAGAAAATCGGAGATGAAAAGAGGGTGACATCTTGAAAGCCAGGGGAACAAGGTGGCGACAGACGCCTCCTGGAGGTCAAAGAGGAGAATGGAAAGCTCATCTAATCCTTGGTCAAAGGATTCAGTAGAGCAGAGGTGGGGCTTGGGCGAGCCAAAAACAAAGCTAAGGAAGGTAAGGAAGGCAGCTTCGTTAGTTCCTTCACGGAGTCTGCCTCTGAGATCTGGAGTAATTTAAAGCTCCAGGGGGAAATCCAATACTCTTGAGGGGAGTGTCTGTCCTCTTTTGTGATCTTGGGGGTGTGTGTATGTCTTTTTTGGATTTCCCAGCTCTTAACTGGGCAAACAAAACAAACTCCTATAAGTTACCATACTAAAATAAACAATTCCGCGAAAATCTTCTGCCTTGTAAAATTCCCGAGGTGTAAATAGGGAGCTTTAATGTGGCGCTCATCGATTGGTAAATTAAAAAGAAAAATCCGTCATTTCCGGCACTGCAGGATGTAAACCTGCGAGTCTAGCTTCTGCTCTCCTATTGGCTGTTTGAGGCAGCTCCGTCCCCAGCCAATCAAACCACTATTTCTTCACCCCCTCCCGACATTATCTTATAAATTACACCAAATTGCTTCACCTTTCCATATCCTTAGCTTGAAAAAGCAGCAGTTATTGCTTATTCCGCCATACGCCAGCGCGGCGCGCGCCGCGCCCCGCGGCCCCGCCCCGCTCCTCCCGGGCCGGCCTGCAGTTCCCCGTGGGCCGTGTGCACCGCCTGCTCCGCAAGGGCAACTACTCGGAGCGGGTGGGCGCCGGGGCCCCGGTGTACCTGGCGGCCGTGCTGGAGTACCTGACGGCCGAGATCCTGGAGCTGGCGGGCAACGCGGCCCGCGACAACAAGAAGACGCGCATCATCCCGCGCCACCTGCAGCTGGCCATCCGCAACGACGAGGAGCTCAACAAGTTACTAGGAGGCGTCACCATCGCCCAGGGCGGCGTCCTGCCCAACATCCAGGCTGTCTTATTACCCAAGAAAACAGAGAGCCATAAGCCCGGCAAGAACAAGTAACTCTGCACCTTCCCACCCATAAAGGCTCTTTTCAGAGCCACCAAATACTCAACTAAAGGGCTGATCACAAACTAGTAGTGCACTAGCTCTTTTCATGGGGACTTGGTGGCTCTAAAAAGAGCCGTTTTGGATTGACGTCAGCCTCACTTGCCCTTGGCCTTATGGTGGCTCTCGGTCTTCTTGGGCAGCAGCACGGCCTGGATGTTGGGCAGGACGCCGCCCTGCGCGATCGTCACTTTGCCCAGCAGCTTGTTGAGCTCCTCGTCGTTGCGGATGGCCAGCTGCAGGTGGCGCGGGATGATGCGCGTCTTCTTGTTGTCGCGGGCCGCGTTGCCCGCCAGCTCCAGGATCTCGGCCGTCAGGTACTCCAGCACGGCCGCCATGTACACGGGCGCGCCGGCGCCCACGCGCTCCGCGTAGTTGCCCTTGCGCAGCAGCCGGTGCACGCGCCCCACCGGGAACTGCAGCCCGGCGCGGGACGACCGCGACTTGGCCTTGGCGCGGGCCTTGCCTCCTTGCTTGCCGCGGCCAGACATGTCTTCACAATAAAAAATCAACCCTTGTGGACTTTACTTACAAAACTAGGCTGTAACGTCTCTAAGGCCTTTATAAGGTTTCCTAGGGGTGGGGTCAGGAGCCAGCTTTTCATTGGTCTTAGTTTGGCCCCGGAGGAGTCCAATGAAATCTGAAATTTAGTCTGTTACAAGAGGCTTGTACTGAAAACGCAAGTTTCATGTATGAGCCAATGGAAATGAAAAGTATTTTGAGTCCTAATTTACATAAGGCGGTTATAAAAGGCTCAGGTCCATCGGCTTCCAGTTTGTTTTCCTGCTCGCTAGGTCGCCTTGTGTTTTAATTATGCCAGAGCCGGCTAAATCCTCTCCGGCTCCCAAGAAGGGCTCCAAGAAGGCCGTCACCAAGGCGCAAAAGAAAGACGGCAAGAAGCGCAAGCGCAGCCGCAAGGAGAGCTATTCCGTCTATGTGTACAAGGTCCTGAAGCAGGTGCACCCCGACACCGGCATCTCCTCCAAGGCCATGGGCATCATGAACTCCTTCGTGAACGACATCTTCGAGCGCATCGCGGGCGAGGCTTCCCGCCTGGCGCATTACAACAAGCGCTCGACCATCACTTCCCGGGAGATCCAGACGGCCGTGCGCCTGCTGCTGCCCGGGGAGCTGGCTAAACACGCCGTGTCGGAGGGCACCAAGGCGGTCACCAAGTACACCAGCTCCAAGTGAGGCGCAGCCTGCACGAGGCGCTCGCTGGCCCCTTTGCCCTCTAAAGGCTCTTGCAGAGCTCAAATAAGGGAAGCTTTGTTCGCTTGCATTAGTTTCTAGGGTCTTGGGGAGTGTACAGTTTTAAGCTTTTGTAGTTTTGAGGTTCCCTGAGCTGCTGTGCAGTTGGCAGTACAGCGCCTCACACCCCACTTAGTTTCTTGGAGTTCTCAAACCCAAGGGTGATGGATGTCGGCCTCTACCGGGTTTCTTCTGTGTTCTAGACTGTTGTGTTAGGGCGCATTTTGTTTTATCGACCTAAAGCGAGATGACTTGATTAACTTGGCGGTAAGAGGGCTCCGGGACACACCTAAACCTGTGTCGACGAACGCTGAGCACCAGTCATCTACAACCGAAGCCGCTCGGTCCAGTTTATTCGTCCTGGGTATCGGCGCTTCCGGTACTTAGGGCGGCGTCCTCGCCTTCCGCGTTGCTGCTGCGGATTTGGTAGAAGTCTGTTGGGGTTCTCCCTCAGGCTTTAGAAGCCCAGGCTTGTAGTTTTCTTTTATTTTTCCCACTTAATACTTTTTGTTAGCCGCTGCTCATTTTCGCTCTGGGCCCATGAAGCGATTTTTTTCTTTGTTTTGTTTTGTTTTTCGAGACAGGGTTTCTCTGTGTAGCTTTGGAGCCTGTCCTGGCACTTGCTCTGGAGACCAGGCTGGCCTCAAACTCGGAGATCCGCCTTCCTCTGCCTCCCGAGTGCTGGGATTAAAGGCGTGCACCACCAACGATTGAATTGATTTTTAAATCACTGCTTTTGTGGCTACACCAGGGGTGGGGGTGGGGGGGTTGTCCGTTTGATGTACGTGAAGACACGATGGAATAGAAATGTTTGGAGGATTCTTTCTCCAAATCTGTCTTTATTATAATGTGATGGCTATTCTTGGTTGTCAACTTGACTACATCTGGAAATAACTAAAACAAGTGACAGTACACCTATGAGGGATTTGTTTTCTTAATTAAATAATTTGAAGTGAGAAGAAGCACTTTTTGAGGTGGTAAGACCCACCTTTAACCCGGGCCACCCCTGCTGGCAACCTGTATAAAGGGCATGGAAGAAGGAAGCTTGCTTTTGCTTGCACTCCCTGACATGTCTGCCCTTCACTGGCCTTAGAGCCTTCTGGATTCTGGAATATACTGAAGACCAGCTGAGACGTCCAGGCATCAACAACTACCAGGTTCCAGCACCTTCCGTTGGTAGGCAGCCATTGTTTGTTGGACTAACTGGACCCCAGCCTGTAAGCCATATATCTATGAAAAAAATACATATATACTGCATTGTATAAATTCTGTACCTTGAGAGTCCTGACTGATACAATTACCTCATTGTAATTTGTGTGTGTGTGTACCAGAAGCTGGGCATAGTAGGTTCCCGTTCCCTTAATTTTTTCCCAATTTAGAGTAAGCTCTTGGATTTTCATTAAATTGAGAGCATTGGGCTTTGAGGAAAGTCTCCTTTTACCTCCACCAGCAACCAGCACTCCAAGGTTTGCTGAGAATGCATAGAGGCTGTAGGTTCAAACCTCAATATATAAACACATACACACATTCGCGCTCACACATGTACACACACACATTCACACTCACACATGCACACACACCTGCCTCTAGCCAAACTTCTTCCTCACTGGTGCATTGGGGTTGAAATATCCTACGACAAGGCCATTGTTGCTGCCTAGTGATTGAGAAATATATGACCACGAATAAAAAAAGATATTACAAACAAGTCACGTGAAATAAAATCCCTGGTAAAATTTAGCCAACCCCTGCAGAACACTTGGGATGTACTAGGGAGTGTTTTATGCCCTTTAAAATATCAGCTCTTATTATCTTCACAGAGAACTTTATGAAGTTTATTATCCCTCATTTTATAGCTAAGGGAACAGAAGTACACCACTGCCTTCCCTCAAAGCATAGAGAGCTGGTCTCCAGCTTAGTTTTATGGGACTTGAGAAAGTAGGATTACTCTGTGGAAATCTGGGCCCCTTCTCTGCATTTGGGAAGAGGGGGTTGAAATACCCATACTTCACTTTCAACTTCCCCTCCCCCTTCTGAATGCATAGAGATCCAGAGGAATGCTGACTAACCTTGGGGATGGGGTTGGGAGACTGACTTTCCATCCCAGAGGCCAGTTTAGCTTGTCCCGGCAGAAGGAAGGGACTGTGGGAGCTTTGGGGGGAAGCGTTTCATCAGCACAAGAGGCTTAGTGGTTTATTTGGGGCTCTCCCCACTCCCCAATCCCGTGCTCCCATGATGGTCTTGTGGCAGACTCCGATGAAGAAGGAAGTGGCAATAGAATCTGGTATTTTAACCCTGGAGGAGAAATTATCAGTATAGAGATTAATCTTGCATTAAGCCTCCTTGTCCCATTCATTTTCTTACCTTAGGTTAATAATTGCTGCAAAAATAACCATTGCTTGTACTTAGTGAGCACTTGACTGTCAGCAGGTCCTCTGCTTGGTAGTTTACACATGTCACTTATTTATTCTTCACAGCTACCGTTTAAAGTTATGTTTCATTTTCACTGTCTTTGTGTTGTAGATAAGGGGGAAAGTCTTAGAAAGCTTAAATGGTTCTTTTGGGATTTGAACTTGTTGTAGAACTGCAGCCCAATGCACACCTTTTTGTTATTTTGAGACAAAGTTTCACTACGTAACTCAGGTGGGCACCAATTGTGCAGCAATCCTCCTTTTCAGACACCCAAAAATTACCACACCTGACTTCAACAGAATTAGAGATCTGTTCACCTTGTTGCACAGATATCAGGTTTTTTTTCTGACTACAATGTAATTGTTAATCCACTTGCCTGTTAATACCAATCGGTAGCCCTAGTCCTTCCACCACTCTGTATTTTCTCTCTCCTTTTCCTTCCTCAATTTTTTGAATACACCCCAACTTTGGGCCAAGGTGATTCCATGGAGAAGCATGGTAATGTTTTTACCCTTAGTTGAAAAGGAACAGGGAGGGAAGGATGAAACATAAACACATATCTATTGGTTGGAAGTGGATATGGTGTTATCTTTGCTCTGCTCTATGCTCCAGTCTCCCTGTGTTCTGCAAGTCCTCTCCCGTACAAAGCTGACCCCATCACTTGGCTCACAAACCCCCACTGTCAATTCATGCCTCGGTTTATAAGTCTTAGTGAACCATGAAATAACATACCACATTCCATTTCACGTGTGAGCTGTGAAGTCCTGCGCCTTTAAGGGGAAGGCCTTCAGGATTCTTGTTCTTAGGACCTGAGAAGCACCTGAGAACTGGCCTGTGCGACACAAGAAGAGTGTGTGTAACTTTGTGTGAGACAGAATGAGAGAGAGACCTTGCCTGTTGGGTGTGACTGTGTTTCCTTTCAATTAAGTAATCCTAGGACAAAAGTGCAAGCAAACAACAACAAAACAAAAACAAAACAAACAAACTAACAAAAAGAGGGAGATTGTCTTAGCTCCTAATTCTCAGCTTTATTCCTGTCTCAGGAACTGACACTTATTCTTTATATCTTTAGAAACTGCCATTTAACAAGAGATTGTCCTTGTGATTAGGAAGACTAGGTTCAACCATCTATTTAATATGCATGATTGAGAACCTGTACTTTTATAAATATCTGTTAACATTATTAAGAAAGGCCTTCTAGGTCATTTCTTCCTAATAGAAGCATTATTAGATGTAGTATCATTAATTCATTTAAGAATTTTTGGAGTTGGGCCTGCAATTGGATGCTCTGCGGGCTGAGGCAGTAGGATTATAAATTCAAAGCCTGACTGGAAAATTTAGTGAGCTCTTGTCCCAAAAAGCAAGAAGATGGCTGAGTATGCATCTTAGTGGTAGGATGCTTGTTTCTCATGTGGGAGACCCTAGAGTCAGTCCCTGGGGGTCAAAAAAACCATAATTCCAAGCTAGTGTGGTGGTGCAAACCTTTAAAAAAAATCACAGCACTTGGAAGGCAGAAGCAGGGGGATCTCTGTGAGTTTGAGGCCAGCCTGGTCTCCAGAGTGAGTTCCAAGACAGCCTGGACTACATATACCCTGTCTCTAAATAAATAAGTAAATAAGCAAATAATAAATAAACAAATTTCTGTTAGATGGCAGGCAATCTCTTAGGCAGTGGTGATATAAGATTAAACAGAACAGAGTGGCTTCTGGCTCCCTAGAAAGAAAGACAGATGTCAAATCATCGGCGATAACCAATGATAGCAAGTGTTAAGGTGGGGTAAGTACTGGTGCAGAGAGTGTGATGGAAGGTGCTCTAACTTACCATTGGAGGGTTGCCTTAGTTACTTCTCTGTTGTGGTGTTTGAATAAGAATGGCCCCACAGGCTCATTTATCTGAATGCTTCCTCATAAGGGACTAGTGTTACTTGACAGGGATTAGGAGGTGAGGCCTTGTTGGAGAAAGTGAGCCACTGGGAAGTGGGCTTTGAAGTTTCAAATGCTCAAGCCAGGCCCAGTGTCTCTTTCTCCCTGCTGCCTGGGAATCTGGATGTAGAACTCTCAGCTACCTCTCCAGCACCGTATCTGCGTGTACGTCACCAAGCTTCCCGCCGTGGCGATAATGGACTGAACTTCTTTATAAGAGTTGTCATGGTCATGGTGTCTCTTCACAGCGATAGAACAGTGGTTAAGACAGCTGGGAAGAGACCCGTGACCGAAGCAACTTATAAAAGAGAAAGCATTTAATTGGGGGCTTACAACTTCAGAAAGTGAGTCCACGACCATTTTGGTGGGGAGCATGCCTGAAGATAGGGGAGCACGGCACTGGAGTGATGGCTGAGAGTTTACATCCTGATCAGCAGGCAGCACACAGAGAAAGAACGGACTAGAAACAGTGACTGGTTTTGAAATCTCAAGGCTCACTCACAGTGACACACCTCTTCCAAAAAGGGAAAGGACTACCCCTTAGTCCTTTCCAAACAGTTCTGCCAACTAGGAACCTATCATTCAAGCATATGAACCTATGGTGGCCATTTGCATTAAAACCACCACAAACGAAGGCAAGGGTCTCTTCCAGAAAGAGGCCTGTAGGCTAAGAGCAGGGAAGGTTAGGGATGACTATTCCAAGAGGAAGGCAGCATGAGCAAAGTCCCCCAAGGGGAATGGGAAAGAGGGTGCTCAGGGTGTAGCTGCAGTGTGCAGAGGACACCAAGAAGCTCACACAGTAGACAGAGTCATGCCTGCAGGATCAGATTCGACATAAGCTGACTCGCAAGAACTCAGTCACAGGCTAGTGTGACTAGGAACAGAAAGGCACTGGATGGCACTAAAGCGGAGTTCAAATTCTCAGAGGCCATATGGCGTGTCCTTCTAAGGACATGACACCCTGATCCTCCAGTGACTGTTCAATGCAATGGGACTTCCTTTAAATGGGAAACAGTGCTTCAGGCTAATCAGGTTGACAATAGACAGCATGGCATCCTGCAAGTGGCTTTCTTTCAATATTTTATGATTTTTTTTTTTTTGTATATGAGTGTTTCTCCTGCATGTATGTGTGCAGTGCCCACAGAGTCTAGAAAGGGGCCTCGGATTCCTTGGAGCTGGAGTTACAGTGGATGCGGAGACTAGAATCCGAGTCCTGCACATCCATCTCTTCAGCAAGTGGCTTTCTTATTGTAGTTTAGTTTTCTCTGAAGTTTGGCTTCTTCGAACAAGTTGAGTTGGACCCAAACATGTATTTTTAGATACTTAGTCGCTATCATCTCTCATTAGAAGTTAAGAGCACAGGATGTGACAACAGATTGCCTAGTAACGAAGCTCAATTCTTTATCACTCAATAGTTATATATGATGGTCAATCTTAGTTGTCAGTTTTACTGGATTTAGAATCACTATGGAAACAAACCCTGGAGCACGTCTATAAGAGATTTTTTAAAAAAAGATTTCATTAAAAATTTATGAGTGTGTATGTATGTGCCTGTCTGAATGTATGCCAAGTGTGGGTGTGGGTGTCCATGGAGGCCGGAAGGGGTTGTTTGATCCCATGGAGCTGGAGTTACAGATGGTTGTGAACTGCCCCATGAGGGTGCTGGGAAGCATATTTTGTAATTGTCCGATTTGTTACTGTGTGATGTGCATGGTATGTGGGGGTGTTTGCGCTTTAGCATTTGTGTGAAGGCCCTCACAACTTGTGGATTTAGTTCTCTTCTTCCACCAAATGAGTTCCAGTGGTTAGAGCTGAGTTGTGCAGCTTAACAAACTGCCTTTACCCCTAGCCATCTCATTGGCCCCCATTCAATGTGTTTTTCAAATACATACACAAAGATGGAAACTGAAATTTGAACACTAACTGCATCTTTAATAATTAAAGATTAGCAACTTATTGTTTTAGATGTGTGTTAGCTCCACAGCCTTTATCATTTAAGGATATATAAAGAAATATTTCATTGTGACATAATATGGTGTCTGGAATTTCCCTCAAAATGATCCCGTGTGGCTGAGTTGAGTTATATCATGTGA